AAAAGAATACTGTGACAGTAACTACAACTTAATGTAATGGCTGTCCCTGCCTAGACTAAGTCAAGTGGAGGGTTGAATTCCACTTCAGGAAAGAAAAAGGCAGCAACTGAGATCAAGCGAGAAAGGCAACATCTAGTTTAAGAGAGGTCATACACTTTTTAATTATAATAAACCACTATGCTAAAATGGTCTATAAGTTTTAATATTTATACAGAAAAATATCTTCATAAACCCATTTTAATCTTCAAATAAAACATACAAATTCCATTTTCACATTACTTACCACAGATTTTAAAACTTGCAGTGACATTACTGTGAGACTAACACACTACCAAACATACACCCAACCATAAATATTGTTGAGTTCCCCATGAGGAGCTTAAGTGAACAGTTATTTCAAGTTGCAATTACCAATGACAGGCCCAAACTGATTTGTTTGTATGTCTTGCAGATATTTTCATTTCAAACAAAATGAAATCATTCTTTTTCAGTCTCAAGAGAAATATAACCATTATCCCCACCTACAGAGAACACTGCCTAGAAAATGCAGTAATGCATCACTATTGCCAGGCATCAGACAGGTACAAAAACACTGTAGCATATATTAGAAATCATCTCGATGACCAGTAAAATAAAAATTAAAAATTCCTTCCATACAAAGGGCGTTCCCAAATAGGGAAATACACACACTCAAATGTGCATCTTTAAAAAAAAGTACATATTCATTCATTTAACAACTACTTGAGTGACTGTGTTAGGCATTTTTTTAGGTGCTAAGGATTCTGTAGTGAAGAGAATGTCCTGCCCTAACGGAGGGGGATGGGAAGGGAAAGCAAGTAACATATAACATATGCTATGCTGGAAAAGCCAAGAAAAAATAAAGCTGAGTATGTAATGGAGAAGGGGAATGTCTAGTAGATTGGGGAAAGATTGCAAATTTATATTGGCAGATCATGGAAGATATTTGAGCAGGCTTGAAGAAATAAGCAAACCTGCATGTGTTCAGGAGAAGAGCATTCTAATTGTAGAAAAATGCAAATGCCAATATCCTGTGAGGTAGTGCTGTCTGGCATATCTGGAGTGGGCAAGGGGGAAAGTGGTAGCAGTTGGGGGGCTCAGATGGGGAGCCAAATGTTCAGCAGTGGTAAGCTGGAGTTGGCTGGTAACCAGCTAAAGAGCAGATTATTATACATTCTAGAACTTTAAATCCCATAGTGGAAGTATAGCACAGAAATAGGCAAATGCTACAAATCGGAGGCTTTTTCCCCTCTGGAAATCCGGTTTATCAGCACATTGCTGCCTATGGGCTACTTTAAGTAGTCATGCACCGCATAATGACATTTTAGTCAACAACAACGGCAAAAATGGCATTGGCCCAATAAGATTATAATGGAGCTGAAAAATTCCTATCACTTAGTGATGTCATAGCCATGTTAAATCGTAGCATTACACATTACATTTGTGGTAATGCTGGTGTAAACAAACCTACTGCACTGCCAGTCCTATAAAAGCACAGCATATATAATTATGTATAGTACATAATACCTGATGATGATAATAAATGATTATATTACTGGCTTACATATTTACTATATGTTTTATTATTATTTTAGAGTGTACTCTTTCAAAAAGATGTGTTTATTGATTTTTTTAGAGAGAGAGGAAGGGAGAGAAATAGAGAGAAACATTGATGAGAAAGAAACATCATTGGTTAGCTGCCTCCTGCATGCCCCCTGCTAAGGATCGAGCCCAAAACCTGGGCATGTGCCCTGACTAGGGATCAAACTGTGATCTCTTGGTTCCAGGGTCAACGCTCAACCACTGAGCCATGCCAGTCAGGTTAGAGTGTACTCTATCCTTATTTAAAAAAAAAAAAAAAAAGTCTGCTGTCCCTGGCTGGTGTGGCTCAGTGGTTGGAGTGTTGGCCCACACACCAAAGGGTCCCAGGCTCAGGTCCCAGTCAAGGGCATGTCCCTGGGTTGCAGGTTCAATCCCCAGCCCTGGTCAGGGCGTATTCAGGAGGCAACAAATCAATGTGTCTCTCTCACATCAATGTTTCTCTCTCTCTCTCTCTCTCTCCCCTCCCTCCCTCCTTCCCTTCTACTCTCTCTAAAAATTCAGTGGAGAAAACACCCTTGGGTGAGGATTAACAGTAACGACGGGTCTGCTGTGAAACAGTACGCTGTGTTTGCAAGCCGTATACATCTCATGTTTACCGTGCATTCTGGTTGCATCATTTTCTCTTTCCTTGATTTAATCTTGTGTTGTTTTGTACAGCAACATGCTGCACAGGTTTGTAGCCTCGGAGCAATAGGCTATACCATATGGTCTAGGTGTGTAGCAGGCTACACCATCTAGGTTTGTGTAAATACACTCTATGATGTTTGAACAACAAAATCCCCTAACACCACATTTCCTAGAATACATCCCCACTGCTGAGCAGTACGTGACTGCACTTTGTCTTTTACTTTGAGTGAGATCAGAGGATGTTGGAAGGGCAGTCTTCTGCCTGGTATCGTCACTCCCACTACTTGAGTTCTGACCAGTGAACAAGCGGCAAAAGCAGAGAGACTAATCTGGAGGCTGTTGATGTCATCTAAGTTAGATATGGTAGTGGCCTAAACCAAAGTGCCAACGGTGAGACTGAGGAAAAGTCCAATCCTGGGCATGAAGAGCTGTTCTGATATGAATCAGTCTGTAATAGTAAACAAGCTTCCTGCCAGCAACTCAATGATATCTAGAGCTCTAATCCAAATATGTCATTCCTGGTTCTAAATTAAGACTGCTAGCTGGATTTATAAAGGGCTCCAAGAAGCACAAAGAACCAAGAAGGAGTCTTAGATGAGCATTATTGATCTTAGCTACTAGCAGTTCTGTTATAATTTCAAATGATAAACACATACATTTATTAAGTACCTATTATATATAAGGCACTGCAGGGAATACAAAAAAAAATCTATAATCCAAGCCCTCAACCTAAAGGAGGTTATAATCTAAAATCTAAACTGACTCAGCCATGTATAAAAAGATACAGACTCGAGGCAGTGAAAGTACAAGGTGTGTGTGGGCCAATGAATATTCTATAAATTGGGGAAAGGGAGGGAAAATCACTAAACAGATGGGACGCAAGCTAGGCCTTGAAGGATGGATAGTACGAGATTGTGAGAGAGGAAAAAAGAATCAAGGGACTTTCAGGCAGTGGATCTACAGAGTAAAAGAGCTAGGGTAAAGGTAGGAATGCTCAATGGTTCAGGAGCTCTGTGAGATACAAGCTACAACTGTGGAGTATGGAGACATATTTGAACTCCCAATTCCATCACTCATTAGCTTGGGCATGTTATTTAGAACCTTCCAGCCTCTATTTCCTCAGCAGTGGCAATTACAGTACCTACTTTATAGGACTAAATTAAATAAAATCATGCATGCATGGTGCTTCATATAGCCTGGAATTTAGTAAGCAGTTACTGGTTATCAAAAACAACATTACCATTAAAGAGAGAAAGGCAGAATGTAACTCTACTATAGAAGGCCTTGAATATGAGACTAAGGAATTTGCATTAAATACTATAGATAGTGGCAAGCAAAAGTTTTGTGTGAAAAAATGATTTTGTAAGTAAAATTTTAGAAAGGTAAATCTGGCAGGAAGATATAGAATATACTGAATATAGAGGAAACACTGGAAGTTGAGCTGCTATTTAGACAAAAGTCCAGGCACACTGATAAGTTTTAAACAAGGGTAAAGGTGGTGATAATGGAAAGTACAAGATAAGTGAGATGACAAAGGTAGGCACCAACTAGGATTTAGTTAGTAAATAAAAGGGTGGGATACTGAACTGTACACTTAAGAAATGGTTAAGATGGTAAATTTTATGTAATATATATTTTACCACATTTTTTTTAAAGGATAGGAAAGTGTTGCAAAGGAAAAGGGAAGAGCCAAAAATTAATTTTAACTCAAGTAACTAGAAGAACAAAAGGTACCAATAAGAAAAAAAACAAACACAAACACAATAAAGTCACAAAAAGGGGCTCAGCTTGGGAAAAGGAATCTACATTCTTGTTAGGTTTAAAGTGATGCCTTGAAAGCCAAAAGAACATGTAGAATATCAGAGAGGCAAGACCGAAGCTCGCTCACTGATGTAACAAAGACAATCAGTGAGGAGGAGAAATCCCAGCTAACATAAACACAGTAATATATCCAAGTCACAACTACTTGGCTTATCAGTCTTTACTACAATAAAAGAATGGGTGGACATTGTGACTTGTGACTCTACTTAATAGAGACTGGGGAAAAAAAGAAAGTATTTTTTAAGGCATCCCAAAAACCTGATTACAGTAAAAAGCAGCCATTAGCACCACTTACTTTATTCATCTTATAATACAAGTAGGACTGTAACAGCTCCAGTAACACAATGGCACTTTGATAATCCTATAATTCAGGAACCATAGATTCTAAGATATAAGGTTAACATGTTCAGTTTGTTCTCCATACATACCTCAAGTGTTAGCAGTGAATTTTGTGGGGGGTTTTCCAGGATTACTAATTCTTTTTGTATACTCTTCTTTGAAGAACATGAATACAGAAAAATATATAAGCTTGGTGAATTTTCACAAAGTGAACACACCCATGAAACTAGTATCCAAAACATGAAACAGAACATAACTAGCACCCTAGAAGGCCCCTTTAGACCCCGTTTTAAGCACTTTCCCCAAACCTCAACAAGGATAATCAATCTCCCAACTTCTGACACTGCACCACAGATTAGTTTTACCTGTTTGTAAAACAACCATAAAGTACTCAATTTTTAGTGTCTGGTTTCTTTTGCTCAGCAATGCATTTGTGAAATTCACACATATTACATGTAGTTATAGTTTGTTCATTCTGATCACTATTCAATATCCATTGTGTAACTACAGAAAGTTATTTACCCATTCTGCTGTTGATAGGCATTTGAAAAATTCCAGTTTGGACTATGACAATTAGGCCTGCCATAAACATTTCTGTCCATGTCTTCTGGTGAATATAAGCACACAGTTCTGTTGTGTATAAATCTAGGAGTGGAACTGCTGAGTCATAGAACGTGCATGTGTTCAACTCTACTAAATAACAAATGAACTTTTAAGGAAGAAATATTTTAAGATCTTCATAGGGAAATTTGAATGATTAATGACTTATCAGAAAGTGCTGACTTCAAAAACTACTTTCAGGAGGGTAAACATATTGAAGTAGGATAGTTGATCCACACTGCTTCCAAAGAAGGCAATTTACTTCAGATAATTTTCACCTGCAATTTAGCCTATGACAATAACAGAAGTAACCATGTTAGTCTTGCCCTTTCTAGTACTTATGATGTTAAAAATTTAGGAACAAACAATTAAAGAGCCACTACCATCAATAAAGTAACCACTTTCTCAACTTGTTACAGAATGTAACTGTTACCAGTCAGAACTCTGCAATAGTCAAGCCTGTACTCATTCAATCATACTCCCACAAATTGAAAGAGACTTCAGAACTAGTGTAACCTCTAGGTGGATGCCTTCTGTATCACTGATCATGCTAATAAACATTTATGTAACCCTGGAATAGAAAAAGAACATTATGCAAAAACTAAAGGAATCTGAATAAAGTACAGACTTTAGTCAATAAAAATGTATCAATATTGGTTCATTAATTGTAACAAATATACCACATAATGTGAGATGTTGGTAATAAGGGAAATAAATGGGAATTCTGTGTACTATCTATACCATTTTCCTGTAAATCCAAAAGTTTTCAAATAAAATTTATTCTTAAAAATCCACTTAAAACACTGCAACATAATCTGCAGATTGTAACGGACCTGCTAAACTTCTCTCAGAATGCAATCCGAATGCACTTTAAGAGCTGGTGGTATACACCCACACACACATACATATAAACACACACATACACTTTTCATCTATGGAGTTAGACACATGGACATATGGGGGAAGCATTCTATCTATGCTGATTTTGGTTTTGCTCCTAGCTATGACATTATGAATAAGGTTCAGACTCCCTTTTTGATTCCAGCTTATCTAACCTTTTTGAGTATACACTGTAAGTACTTAATGAATCATTAAAAAGCAATCCCCTAGTTATCTTTAAACAATAAAATAAAAGCATCCAAGCTCCAAGTAAAGTCATTTCTCCAATAAATCAAATTTTTTGTGTTTTAAATCACTGAGTCTTTGCTTTTAGTTCAGGGATGAACAAAGGGAAACAAAACAGACTGTGCCTTACAGCTAGCAGGGAAAACAGGCAGCCTTAATATGCTATGAGAGCTAGTAGACGGACCTCTGGGCAAGAAGGCAGGAGATCTAGCCTCTAGGTTCAGTTCTGCCACTTATCTGCTCTGTAGTCCTTGAACATTTTCCTGAGCATCTTATCACTTCTTGGCTATGCCAGATATCCTAGTTAAATCTTTTATCATTATCTGTTCTCTAAACCTTTAGAGTGTCTACAAATAAAAATAATATCCTACCACTAAATAAATGTTTACACCCACCGAGGGATGGAGGTGGGGAGAAGGTAATATAATAAAAGGTGGACTGCTATCATACATAGTTTTCCATTTCATTAACCTGTATTATTTATCCCACTGTATTAGTAATCCCACCACTATATATATTGCAAATACTTACTTGCTAGTCAGCATTATGACACAGGTCTTGGCTTTCCCTATAGAAGACTATTTGAATTAAACTGTGGTTGTAGAAAGTTTATATCTAAAAGCAACTGAAGTTCGGTTCTTCTATAGCATGAGTTGGCAGATTTTTTCCTTAAAGAGCAAGATATTTCAAGCTTTGTGGACCATATGGTCTGTCACAACTCTGTTGTTGTAGTGCAAAAGTAGCCATTGACAGTATGTGAACAGATCTGAGTCCCAATAAAACTTTATTTACAAAAATGCACAGTAGTCCCAGCTATAATTGCCAATCTCTGTTCTATAATATCAGGGAAGGGAAAATCAACTGGCAAGATTGATTTTGTAAAACCACATCATGAGTTCACACTGAAATAAACTGTTTTGTTTGCAGGAAGAAAATGCTTACAAATCATATCTTCACATACCTGAGAAGGTTCAAGTTTTCCCTGCGTGAACAGGTCACATCACCAATACCTAAGACAGAGCAGGAAAGCACTCTCCCTTACATGGTTGTTATGACATAACAGGGGATGTGTTAATTTATGTAGGCAAAATTTACAAGGTGACCTGCAAAAGTAAAATACCAGGTTTTAGCAACTGTAGCAATAAATACAGAAATCCAAGCCTCGTTAATATCAAACATCACTTCTTCCATATATTAAGGCAAATTAATTCAGATAAATGTCAAGGTCATTGGCTTTCCTGGGAGAGCTGTTCTTTTTCCATGCAAACCAGTTAGTTTAGACCAACAGAGCCTTGGTCAGCCATAACCTGTTAAATTTCCAAGAGGCCAGAATATCTATTTGAGCTAACACAGAAGTTCTGATTGATTCTGGGATAAAACAGGGGTTGCTAACCTACACATAGTCTAATCAGGCCAAGATCAGATCTGTCAGCCCTTAGGGTCTACCCTAGTAAAAATGTTCCATTCTGTGACAGTCACCTTGCTAAATTCAGCACCATGTTGGTTACCAGGTGTTTAGTAGCAGGCTGGAGCAAAAAGCCGGCCCACAAGGATCAAGCAAGTGCCTTTTTAAAAACTAATCTTGAAAAGTTCCTCTACATGGCTTTGCAAAGTAAGCAAAAACCATGCCAAATAGTAAAAAAGGCACTTACTTGACTCTCACAGGCCAGCTCCACACTCTAGCAGCTAAGATGTCACTGGCATGGTACATGGAGAGTGAGGCGGAAACGATATCTTGCCAACCACTGTAGGAATGGTGGTAAAAGACCTAAAAGAACAGAAAAAAGTAAAGTCAATGTAAAAGGAAAAGGCCCACCTGAGCCTGGTGACATGGATACCACACATGTAATGCCAAAAAAAGAAAAGAAAATGTGAAAAGATCATACTTAGGTCAATCATAGCTGCCAGTTAGCTATTACAGTGTCCCTTAGGACAGGAGGGCGCTTTTAAAAGAATATGAGTTATAACCTAGAATAAATCCAGATTGGTTATGAGAAACTGAAATGTGCATTTTTTAAGAAAAAAAAATACTGAATCTTTGATAACCACACAGTAAGCTCATACAAATGTAAAAATAGAGAATCTAAAGCAACAACTCATAAACCAATACTTTTAAAAATAGTTCTAAGGAAGGGAAAATTTTTTCACCCCATCTCTATGCTCCCAGTGTTCACAAAACAAACAGAACCATAATAAAAAATGAAGAATAAGAAATGTTTTTAAAACTTAAGGGGACCTGGCAATAGAAGACTCAGGCTATCCAGGTTCACTCAGGAACTTCCACTAGTTTCAGAAACAAGTTTACAGACTTAGAAATCTTGGTGCACCAAAAAAAAAAATCTATTTCATTTGCCTCACCACACAGCTCTCCAGTTTAGGAGCTGTGTTTCAAAAGGCCTGACTCGGCAACTGAATCAGAGATCACTCCAAAACAAGGACAATTTTTTTAAAAGCCTGTTCACAAACCACTACCTCCTCTCCTCATACCTACATTATTTGTGGGTAAAATAATTTGTGAAAAAAGTTTACTTGTGGATTTGCATGAAAAACATCAACAGTGGAGGGAAAGCACAAAACTCATTCTCAGTTTGCAATACCTTCTCTCCTCTTTCTATCTAATCATTCCCACCAAAAAAGAAATATCTTTTACTTGCAGGTCCATTCAGAATCCTTTCCTTCAGAACCACAATGGAAGAAACAGGAGGTTGAGTTTAATCATTCTTGAGGCACAAAAATGTATCCAATAATTTAAGTTTTCATTCTAAATCAGTTTTAGCCTAAAGATTATTATTGCACTATGCCATAGTTCTAATATGATTAAAGTTGGGTCACATTTTTAAGATAGTCTGGTGATTCAAACTGCCTCAATTAATTTCATTGGAATGGGATATTCACTGTTAATAGCATATCTGGCCAGACTACATCTTGGGTGCCTAACTAACATTTTCTTCTCAATTTCGGCTTGTGTTTGCCTTGCCTTGGCAACAGTCCCTGGAAAGCATTGCATTTATTAGTGTTTCCCTTGCTGTATCAGCATTTCTGGTTAGTGCACTATAGCAAATTATTTGGAGGGACAACCTGAATTAAGCTCTTTGTGCTGTGTATTTTGCAAAATTTTTCAAACCAGTATCAAAAATGTTACAAATGCAATTAGGAAAAAAAAAGTATTTATCAGAGATTGCCTTTTAAAACAATGACTACAATGTAAGAATATACACTGGCAAATACATACATAAGATTTCTTATTAAAAGAAGTATTTATTTCGCACCATCTACCTGCCTCAAAAACAAGTAACTCCCCTCATTCCTAGACCTTGTTTTCCTTTGCTCCACAAAACCAAGTCACAATTCAAGAACAGTCTTTTTATCATTTAAGGCACATATCCTTTTACAAAATAAAGAAGAGAGTCCCAAATTGCAAATTATTCCAAACACATAGAAGAAAAACAATAAATAAATGCCAACAAGTTTCCATCCACAGCTTGTCTGCACTTGAAAAATCTGAGAATTTTAATACAGAAAACCAAAATTTTGCTGCAGCAGCCCAATCCCTCGAGCTCATTGTGTTATCAAAGATGCTGTTCTGCATTTTACACAAGACATGCTCATCTGTGTAATGAAACATTACTCTTCTCCATCTTCTCTTGGGAAGTACAAAGGGTTTTCCCAGGAATATAATAAATGTGGACATTCCACACCAAAAAAGGAAACTGGCTGTTTTTAAAGTCAAAACAACATTCCCAGTCTAACTTTAAAAATGACATAATATATTCCTCTCTCCTACCCCTCTCCCAAATATTCAGCTAAAAAGACTTTCAGTCAACAGAAGAATGGTTAAATATGTGGAATAGAGAATGAAACACTATAAAGAAGTTAAAAATAAAAAATGAACAAAGTTTAAATATTTTTTAAAGTATTAAGAGAACAAATTGCATAAGGATACATACAGTGTGTTATCTTCTTAAGTAAGGTTTAAAGCATGCTTAAAATACTATATAAGGCACATACATAAACATGTAGCATAAACACATGGGAATGGTAAATACCAATTTGGAGATGTTACTTCTGAGGGAGCAAACAGGAAATATGAAGGATACTTAGAGTAGCAATTACAGTTGTAGTTTTAATTTCCCAAGCTAAACAAAATACGTTATTCTACTTGTTTTTATAGACATGACATGCTTCATAATTTAAAAAGATTTTTTCCCTTGTATGTTTGCCTAAACACAATGTAATTTCCTTATGAAGGGACATCTCATCCCCCACCGCCCAAAAAGAAAGCCTCTGCTGACAGAAGGGCCTTTCCAAGTGAGTTTCTTTGAGAGCCTGCTCATCAGTAGTTCTCTTGTCTTTTCTTCCACTAGTGCTGCTACTTTCTGATGCTGGCTGTGATGTAACCTTCAGATCCATAACTCAGGGCCCCTGCTTGTCTCTACTTTTAATCTTACCAAAAATACTCATTTTAGGCAAGAAGTCTATTATAGTTGCCTTTCACTTTCCCCCTTTTACTGCTAAAAGCTCTAACAATCATTAAAAAGAAAGCCATTATATATTTAAAGCTCACCTGACTTTGTGGCACTTGGCCAAGCTATGAAATTGATTTCATTCTTACTCAAACGCCAATGCAGAATGAGATATTAAAATTAAAGAAAGGACTGACTGAGTTCCATTCTCCATTTAATAAATGAATATTCCTAACTTCTGCCATATATTATACTGTAACTCTCTTACCATCCCAACTACGCTTAGACAACACTGTTTTGAAGCTTGTCAGAACTGGAAATGAAAAAAAAGATTTCATTTTTGGGGGGTTAAAACAAGAACAAAATAAACAAAACCCAACTATTAACATGCGGACATGTAATGAGGCATTCACACAGAGTATACAGATCCCCTCAAAAATAAAACCAAAAAAATACCACCACCTCTTCCTGATCAGAAAATTCATTTATCCTGCTATTCAGTGCTTCTAGCACCAGCACCCAAAGGTCAGGGAAAGAGGTGCAAAAAAGAGAAAAACTGGCAGAGACAGACATTAGCTGGTATCCTTCTGTTTACAAAAGAAATGCATTTACATCAAAAGAAAATAAAAAACTTTCAATCTTCTCCTTAGGTTTTTACTACTTCTCCTCCAGTCAATCTATCTTTAAATACTTCTTTAAAGTATTCTGATACCAATACTCTGTTTTAAAATGAAAAATAGGTTTTTATGACACTTGGCCCTTTGCCACATCCCTACTTCGTGGCAGCTAGCAGAATCCTGGCAGTGTAAGATACAGGGTACAGAGGGAGCAGCTGGAAATACAGAAGATTAGTTCCAAAATAAACACCTCCAAAAATCTGTCATCTTTGGAAATAATATATATGTAGGAAATCTAGAGTTGGCAAGCACCTCTTTCAAATAGTTCCTTTCTCTCTTCTGCAGTGCTCAGCCCTTCACCCTTTCCTCTTTCCCCTACTCACTCCAAATACTTGCCAGGTAAATGCATTATGTCAATTTCTTAAATTACTTATAATAGCACGGCAGTCTTTTTCATTACTACTTTAACTTAGCATTTTACATAGTCCTGCTTATTTCAGCATAATCTGTGACCTCTTTTAAGATTATTAGCTGCTGCCTGAATCAAAGAAAAGTAATTCCTCCTTCTTATTTCTGTGATTCCCATCACTGCAGTATCTAGCACAGCAAACAAGATGATTTACAGCTGCATTATCCACAGGGTTGAAGTATTTAGACAATGGTCTCTAGGACTTTTTAATTCACTGCCTCTCATTTAGCCAAGACTAACTGTCTATGTTCTTGACACTATTAGGCTCGGTTCACAGTTTGGGAGAAGAGACTACTATGGGCACTAATCACTTAAGGTTTTCACACTCAGGCTGGCAGGCAACAACTCAGAATTAACAAATTATCAGAACAGTCCCATCTTATCTCAACACTCCAACCTTAACTGCTTTTTTCCTTCCCCCATCTCTCCAACTCTGGAGTCCCACACATCCTCACCCCCCCCCC